GTAAGATGCAAAATCAAGGGTAGAATGCGATGAACCTCGAAAAAAATTGAAGCCGAAAATGCGCTTTTTTCCTAAATGGCGCGCCAAAAGTTTGAAAACTTCACAATACCGAAAGAATTCACCACATTAACTCTGAGTACATAACTGATTAGTACATATTTTGTTATATAGTACCTTGATAGCATGACAGCAATTATTGTCTTTGATTCTTGGAAATTTTTTTGCACATTATTCTTCAGCGGATTTTGTGCGTAATATGTAAATATGAAGCAGTTCCGTTGTTCGTTGGCCGCTCGTGATCACAAGCAGAAAAGTTTTGACCATTTTACCGTACTGCGCTCCGATGAACATGAGGCTGTCGTTCATGTTTTATTAGATCGTTTTGCCATTGATCAAGGTACTTGACAACAATAGTGTAAAGGGTCAACGCTAACAGCTCAACAGAGCTGGAGCAGGCGTTTAGGTTGGTTTGTTCGTTTTTCACGTTGTTGTGATCCTCCAAGGTTTTTTGCTTTTGCATTTGAATGGACCAAGCCATCGCTTCTTATACGCAGTAAGGGTGTTGCTTAACCAACCCGTACGAGGGGGTGGGAGGGAGGAGGGTGGGTGTGGGTGGCGGAATCCAGAAGAAGATGTAAGCTGCACACTTGCAGCATCATCTTATGATCGGTCGTTTTAAGGGAATTCCGTAGACAACTTAAAGATACCTTCAATCCGGTATTTGGCGAATTCCTTGATAAGAGAAAAAATAGTCCAAAGTACACTTACAAATATAGATGATTGACATCGGTAGCATATAGAGGGGGGAGGGGGGAACAAAAAAGAGTCACTTACCTTCACATTCAAAAAGGAATTAATTACACACTGCCACTGCCTACACATAATTGTACATAGCAGCCTTCTACACCGACGACATCAGAAGATTTTCCCACGGAAACATGGTTCACGGTACGAGCTCAACGAGGTCGTCGAGGTACCATAGACCATTACGACGTCCCTGAAACGCTGGTCAAAAGCGGTCTTGCACAGTCACAGCTAGTGTCTCTGGGAAGCTATTCACCGTTAATCCGATTGAAGAAATTATGTAGCAGCTTCAGGCCGGAGCGATTACGGTAAGCCTCGTTGAGCTCGACGGTGACGGCAGATGACGTCATATTCTGAAGACGGTGGGGGCAGTGAAGGAGGGCCTGCTTCTGCTTTGGGGGACACCTAAGGAATATTCTGCCGTAAAACATTCATCAACAACGGCATCCTGTGCGACGAAAAATTTGATGATGTGCGCCATGGGCAAAGTGACTTTTTTTGCCCCCCCCCCTGTATATTGCACTGGTGCAATCTTCACTTCTACATCCGTAGCGGTCGGTGGACATGATCTAGGGGCAAATAGATTTCTCGCGTCTTACTAAGCCGTCGATATTTCCAGCGCCTTAGCACGCCCTTATGCACCTTTCCTCCGATAGATCACCTATCTTTCATGGAGTTCTACACACTTCACTGGACATCTTTCTCGTTTATTTACGCCGGGTTTACCAAGACTATCACTCTTCAAGGTGGTAGTAGAGGTCGAGCGGTCGAAATATTGGGCGTATGTTCTGATGACGTAATTCTTCGAGCCGTTAGACTATGACTTTGACCGATGTGAATGTCCGTTGGGGGTAAATATTGAACGCTAAATGAGTATTTGAACACGTTTATTCTCATACTCACTCCACGACTGAACTATCTGAATTTGTGGCTTGTGTTCGATTTTAGTGAATGCTTATAAGCACCAGTGTATAAGTCCGTATGAAGGAATCTTCTGTGAAGCTTGGCGCACCATACAATGTCAGCAAACGCATAGCGTGAAACCCTTTACTACTGGTTGCATCATCCGCGTGACGTAGCATTCTGGACATCCGGAAGTTGTCACTGTTTTCGCTTCAACGTACCGTATGAGGGCGACGGACTTTTGGTGCGTCCGGGGTTGCACGCGGCGAATCGCGCGGCGGGCTGCGCGGCGATCCGGACGAGGCAAGTCTTCGCGGGCTCCTGCAGTGGAATTCAACACGTCAGAACGTGTGCAGATCGCGGATAGAATCCACAAGGTTCTGCTTTGAAAGAAACTTCCCAGTCGCTTAAATACTATGTATGCTGGAGCCGTGAGCTCTGCCTCTACTCCTGGCGTGGAGATCGGTGAAATGCAGCGGTGTCAGTGAGAAGATTACAGCGAAAGGAGATGAAAGAGAGAAACTTCATTGTCACTATTATCATATTATAAATATGAATAAGAAGCACTAAAAATGGAGTCATTTAGTGAGATGTTATTTATTGTCAACTCTATATCTTTGCTAATCGCGGCGCTCCTGTCCTTGGGGAGAACTTTCAAAACAGGGCCAATGGAAGGTGACACTAGAACTAAGCTCATGAGAAGGGAAATACGCTCGGGAGAAGAAATTGCTCACATCCTCCACGAGAAACTCTTCCCCTCAGGCTTAACACAATAATTGGTTGAATCTCTCCGCTCATGGGATTCCCCCCCCCCTTAACAACAAGCGCCAGCAACCTAAGCGCCCTGATTGCTATAACAGCCTTTTGCTATTCCTTTTCTTCTCTTCCTGCCGCTGCCTTTGAATACCCACGCGTTGGAATGTAACTCGAATCGCACAACCTTTCTACCGAGATTCTATCCGCGATACGGACCTTCTGCGGTGCAATCCACACGTTCTGACGTGTTGGATTGCACCGCAGAAGCCCGACTTAAGCCGTTTAGATACAGCGAGCACCCGAAGTAAGGCGTGAATTATAATGTTCTGCTGTAGTCACGTACAATGCGCGACGCATTGACGCGCAGAAGTGCGTGCTCGCCTCCCACTATTCGTTTTCTCTGCGCTCTCTCAAAGGAGAGAGAATATGTCGAGCCAACCCGCCAACTATACTGAGCGCCGTTCATGTAGGAGGTGGAGGATGGCGCGCACGCTAGAGTGGCCTCGCGCGCCAGCCTAGCGTGGCTCCCGGGGATCTGTAAGCGTATCGAAATGTGAACTAATTATATTGAGTTGTTGTTTGTCACACGTCAGAAATAAACCAACTAAAACTCAGTTTGAACACTTCATTGATTGATATTGAACGAATGCACTAGGCCGTTGAGCAGGATGGGCGCAACTTTTTTACCGAGAAATCCTTCTTGACCTTCTTCACTTATTGGCCCGAACCACTGTGTTTGACCGTGCTTCGACGATCGTCCGTAACTCGTGAACTCGATAAGGTAGTTACTCCACATAATGTATTTAATGGGTGTCGTAAAGCTCTTTAGTAGCATTGAATACCTGTAAATGTGAATTCCTTTCGAATACACTGAAGATAATAAATAATAGCATGCATAGTACTTAAACCATAGAGCGGATTCAGAAAATAATTTGACTTTCACTCGTTATTTTACATTTGTTGGTTTGGTATTTTTTCGTTCATATTTTGAAGGGAAATATTTGTTATAAATACAACTTAAGGACGAAACTCATGCTTTGTAGCGATAATATCTACCCAGTGGCTCGTCGGATTCTGTAGGACAATCTTGTGCAGAAATCGATGTACAGTTCCTAGTGGAGCAGTCATCTGTGTTAGGGCTTTTCAGAGAGGCCTCTTCAGAGCATCGTCTGCAGTGAGATTTCATCTTCGTTATCAAATATGCAGCAGCAAAAGAAGGTATCAAGATAGAATGGGCCGTCAAGGTGCTGGAAGATAAATGTTTCACAGCGAAAGCAGTGCAGAGCAGGGCTCGCAGCTCTACACTGCCAGTTATTAACACATTGACGACAGCGCGTGTTTTAGCTTTTTCTGGCCACGTGGGACGAGCGTAGAAGATAATCGAGGATATGGTGACAAAATCCCGATCAAAAGAAGGTGTAATGGTAATGAAAAGGAATTTAGTCCTTTTCTCTGTAGTGGATGCCAAAAGCTATTTTCGATGTGGATGTGCCAAGTGAAACATATATTTTTCTATCTCTTTAGATTTGTATTTACTTTCACTACCCTTTTCTCACTGACATGTTCATGAGAATAGGAAGAAAACGAGGAATGAACCGAGCTGCCAATTCCGCTGTGCTTAAAAAACTTCTGCTAAACTGGAGCATATTTGATCACACCGTGACCCATGTCGTTTACAGTTATGTTGTAATCCATAGAATAGAGACAAGCAAATTGGGGAAAATTCCCATATTCGCTGGAAAAAGGGATGACAAAGGTTGAGACGCGCAAAGTGAGGTGCGGTAACGCGTTCAATGTGTTAACTATTCCCTCGACGTCAGATTCTAGGCGCGAACACTAACGCAGAGACTCACCCCCTCGCAAAAATCAGCGCGGTCACTTAGTAGGTCTACCTTAATTACCGAAGGACGACCAGTTCATCGTAAATCTGCCTGTGAGGAAATTTTTTGAAGATAGAAAAAGTTTGCCTAGTGGTACTTGGATTGAGGTTACAATTCAAACCACAGATTTAGTGAAACCTGGCGGCCACACAGTCTAATGGACTACCGCATTGGCAGAAAATCTTAGAGATTTCTCTATGAGACGTTATGCTCGCATGACATGGTAAGTAGCACTTCGACAAGTCCATCTATACAAGATTTTTTTTGATTTCTGTACCGTCCAGTCCTCCTCGTCTTGGGGGACGAAATATTGTCCGTAATATATCGTAAGACCAGAACGCTTGACCAGGCTGACACAATTGGAATGGCATATATGAACAGACAAAAAACCGAGAGGCAGATAAATGGGTGTCACAGAAGTCTCCGGCTCGAGGTGACTAAATTTTGCAAAAAGTTGCAAGGTGGCACTTTTACTGGAAAGCAAAATCGCTGTACTTTCGATCGGTAGTAACGAATTTGCATTTTCACTTGTTCAGATCGATGCTGTGCAGCCTAGCTAACTCACGATCTCGGAATGGTAAAGGAGAACAAGAAGAGTCTGCGAATGGCTCGCTCATTCAGAATCATTCGCTCGCCACGAAATCGTCGAATAGCGGGAAGTCTTGGAGATGATTGTAGAATTTAAATGAAAAGGTATCGAATAACCTTTTCTTCCACAATAAACTATTGTTTCGTGGAAAAAGCTGACTAATCATGTTAAGCTGCCTGTATTACGTACTCTGTATAATATTTTGGACTATGTAAATTAATCAAAAGCGCACAACCTGCGCGCATCCTTCCTTAGCACTCCAAGTGTGTGGCTCTTCCGGAGCCCATTTGAGGAAGTCCACAGGAGATCCATCTGTCCAAATCCATAGACTGCTTTTTGGCGCTGCTAATCGTAAACCTATCCAGGCGTTCGTTTTCGCCAACCCTGAACGACAAAGTCGGCTTGTTTTCTTCTGCAAGTGATCATCGCACATGACAATTCGAATTGTCCAAATTATTCTATGATCTCAGCAGATTTAGCCCGACTTAATGGATTCAAATTTCGCCTGAAAGGAAAACTTCTACAAGATCCGAATGCAGAGAATAGAGAATTTTCGCTGTATCGCATTGGGTTTTCTCTTGGTCTTTGGTTCTTGGTTTCTTGGTGTGCGTCACGTGCACAGGCAAGAAACTTCAGGGTATACTACTGTACTGCTACTGCAAAAAAAGTATCGTAGAATGTGGTCGCTGTGGTCATGTTGCGCAATCGCGGTGAACACCTAGCACGTAAGTGAATCCTTAGACCTGCGACTGTCTTACACTTACCGTAAACGAGTTTGTTCTCGTCGTCGCTATGGATGGAAGCCAAATGTCCGCCTTTTCCAATGCATATTTTTTCAGCATCATAGAATGTTGATGGGAGGTTATTTACCTGAAATCGGCACGCAGTGATAAAGTCTTATTACAATGTCCTTAATTATATTTATTGAAATTAATTTTTGTTGGAGTTTTTATGAGGCTGCTCAGAAAAGGAGCACTTTGTGGACACCGCTGGGGATCCTTCGACATGCGACCATGGTCGCATTGATGCGAAGAGGGACGTTGTAATTTAAATTTCGGGGATCATAAATGGGGCTGTGGGAACAAGTGGAAAAGGAAGCGACGTCAAACATGAAATTTGCTATGCTTGCGTAATACACCCTTCCCCGCCAACCCACTACCTCCGTCGACGAAAATTCTGGAGAAACTTAGGAAGCGGAGACGAAGTATGTCAGGTGGAGATGAATATTAGTGATGTAGACCTGTAAGCTCTGGGTTGAATCTCCTACAGGTCCATCTCCGTCTCTAGAGAGGCCACATCTCCAGAATCACCCAGCTAGCTATTGGTAAAGCACTCATGGAATGGTGTAATGATATCTTATGGAATGGGACTGATGGAGGTGGCAAGGATTACTTGTAGGAAAAGAATTCTATTCTATAGAATGACTTCCTGAATTTAGTGCAGCGACCCCCATGGAAATGCTCTTATCAGTCCTCAACTATGAGTAGATATTGCGCGGAATCAGCTCTTAAAGCCCGAAGAGGGTTCACAGTGATTCGAAGCAGATCTGGAGATGTTTAAGCACTACATAGAATCTGAAGAGTGTTCTCGCATCGGAGTTCTAAAGGATGTTGCGTGAGGTGTCCATACTAATCATGTGTGCCCCTGTATTCGATGATCTCCTTTTATTAGCCGGCCGACAAAGTCATCTTTGATGCAAAGCACAGCCAGCTGTGAACCAAAAAAAGTCAACTTTGAGAGCTAAAGTCTCTTTTCTCTAAAAATATTTTCAAAGGTGTAAGGAAACTCATTTCAAATTTTGCAAGGATTAAGGGTGGGGCTGTACGGTGGTGGGGTGTACAGTCCCATAATTCCAATTTTGCCCAAATAATTCAGACATGTGCTACGTCATTTTTCGTAAGTACGTACTTGCTCGGCATTCAGCAAATGTTTTCTGGAGGCCAACTTGCAGAGTTTTGCTGAATAAAGTTACTAAAGCATCAATAAACTAGATTTCTTTACTACTAATAACGAAAATACGTGACCATGAGTCCCACGAAATGGTGCTACTGGTTGTTAAGGATCAATTGTTAGGCCGATGTCAGACTTTGCGAATCGCGCGAATCGCTAGTAGCGAATCGCGCGATTCGCAAAGTCTGACATCGGCCTTAAGGTGTAAACGCCTTGGAGTGTCAGCTGGTTAGATGATAGGAAAGTAACCAACTGACCACATAGTAGAAATCGCCAGCTTCAATAGTGCCATCGCCAGGTTGCACGGAAGCCCCATATGCTCCTATTAGGATTGGAATGAGAACAATTGCTGCTCGCATTTTGCTTCAATGTCCAAAACCTTAAAAGTTTTCCGGCTGATGGATAGTTTGAATAATAGAGTTTTACTTTGTATGCGCTTACTCTGCACTGTACTCGGTAAAGCGACTTGTATCGGCACCTGGCCAATAAAATAGTGTTTACGGGCACGATATCTGTGAGCTTGTTCTTTGGATTCGTGCTAGGCGAAATTAAAAGGTTCTATCATAGCAGGATTGAAGCATTACGATGGACAGGTATATAAGAAAGCTGTTGAAAAGGGAGCCGGCTTAATCATAAAAGCTTGAATTCTTTTAAAGAACAGAAACGCGAAACACACGATTGACGCTGCGTTGGGTTTTTATGGAATTTTAAACCTTTTGGATGAATTGGTAATATTTTAGCGTGAGAAGAACGGAATATCTTCGACGCATCCTTATATAGTTGACAATACATGCTTGTGCAGGCCATTATATGAGCAAACGTACGTAGCTTTTATTCGATTCTTTGGTTGCAATTGAAAATTCGCCCCTTTTGGATGTCTGTTTCCCTATTGTGGTAATATGCGTAATGCCGTCCGCATTCATGGCCTTTCGGGAATGCTCTTTCTCACTCATGTCGCAGATATCACTTTGAGGGAGCCGTTACTCAAAAAGGAACTTTCAAGTAGAAGTCGGCGCCCGAAATTTGTAAGGTTACGCAGATGAAGAGTAAGTAATGCTGATAGCATGCAAGGATTTGACTATGCCACGTTTGAATGAAGCTCTTAAAGTGAATGTGCGGATATCTCAGCAGCTTGTAATATAGCGCAAGCAGACGATATGCAGTCATTGACGTCA